GCATCTTTATTCGGTGATCCTCCATCACTAGATCATGAACTTTATCTACTATATCCGATGGTGGTATCTTATTTTTGGTGCTAATACGATCACAACGTCACTCTGTAAATCAGTTTGAATTATACGATATGTTGATGCATAGTTTCCATATTTTTTGTTAAGCCTGATTTATATTTCAGAAATAAATTTGTTTTTAAAATATATTGCTTATTTAGCATATGTAATTCTTCTTTCAACAATTTTTCAAAACCATTACAATTTATGTGTTTCTTTATCATAACATATCATAGATATCATCATATAAAATGTTTAGACACCCGAAAAATTTATCTAGATCTTAGTTTTTAATATTTCCAGATAATAAAACAAATAACAAAAAATGTGTTAATATTTGTTCGTCGCGAAAAAGTTTATACGAAGTTCTTTAATAGATATAGTTCCTATAGCCTGCTTTACTTAGCATTATTTAATCTTATAGTAATCCCTAACTGCACGGGGCGGTACGCAGATCTTAGATCAGTCTTTGAATAATCGCGAAGCTTATGAGGAATACATAAATTAGTCAGTGAGATGGGTGGGACTCTGCAGAAACCCTCCAGCTATCAAAGAGTAAAAGTGCACAGATGCACTAACTCGGAAAAGGTTCAACATAAAGATACATGAAGATGTTTATGAAGATATTTATTAATATAGTTCGTATCTACATAAAAATTACTTCGAAGTTTGTTGACAACTCCCATACAGTTGTTAAAAATCCGCTCTGATAAAAGCATCGAATTTTTAAGGATGATAATTTTTATATAGGAAAGGACTATATAAATAAATATAGTATGGATATTAAGACTTAAGTCCTCATTATTACCAGAAAGTAAACTCAACACAGTTTAGTAGTATTTTAAAAGTTATTTAGTATGGTCGTTATCGTCTTATCAAACAGTTCTCTATATGTTTGTTCTCTATTCTCGTATGTTTAAGTTTTATGTTTTCTTAGAATCACAATAAATTTTTTTATCAATAACCTTTATCTGTATGATCCTGCAATCTATTTAAAATATCCTTTTTCATATTAAACTCTATAGTCTCATCGTGTATTGCTTAAAGTATCAGAAAAATAAATTATTTCATTGCTTCTTTCAACTAACCATTTTAATCATTTAACCCATTTCAATGTGGGTGAAATCTAAAGCATTTGAGTATTTCACAAATCGAATTTTATCCCGCGGTCACAAAATACAATTAAACGAGCAAAGAGGATGCGTCATGGATAAATAAAAGGGAGCAAATGTGATTATCAGCACACAATACCAATTGGTTTTGGGGTATTGGAAGATTTAATAGTTAAAAAAAAAACGACCACGATGAAGAGATGAAACGTGCTGAAATTGTTGAAATTCTAGTAAATTAATGTAATTTTATTTTATTATTTTATTTTGAAATGATATTAGCTACAAATTTAACATTTGAACATTTTTATTTTGCTACTTGCATTTAAATTTTTTTGTTTGTACTTCAATTTCTGGAGAAATAAACTGAAGTAGCATTTGGTATCATAAAAAACCGTTTAAAATGTTTCAGTTTATCTCACTCTGCTTATTTTCATTCTATTTTCTATTTTCTATTTTCTATGTTTTATTCTTATTTATTTATGTTTTTTTTGCTACTCGTATATAAAAATGTTGAGTAAACAATTCATTTTGGTCATCGTCAAGTGTTGTTTTGTATCTGGAAATGTTACTGTCGTTGACAACGCAATTCGAGTGGTTGGTGTGAATGTTTTTGTCGGATTTTAGCTTTCAGCTTTCCTTAATCCTTAAGAAAGCGCGAGCTAAAGGATTTCACTTCTTCAAAGGATATCATGCCGAGTTATGTGTACGATGTGTGGAAGTTCATATGCTGCCATTAAATTCATCCGAGCGCACAAGTAAACTTATTATGCTGACTTGGCATTTACGTCCTTGATGCGATTGTATATTGCGTCTGCTTTAGTTACTTAATACTTTCTTTTCCAGTTATAATATATTTTACTCTACTCAAAGGGCGGCGTTACTAAAGCAGTGATTTGTTGTTATATTATACTTTTTCCTGCATAAATTTTATATTTGTTTATTTTGTTTTGTTTACATTATCCATAAACGATTGAAGTCATCGAAGTAATAAAGTAAGTTTTATTGCCTTTCAGTTTGTCGTATAAAATATTCCAAAGACACGATAAGAAGTTTTTCAATAAAATAAATTAGAAAATGATTCGCAGACCATATTGATTTCTTTTCCAATACTTAATTGGCCATTGTTTTAATACTCAAATACTCAATTTATGGATAGATAAAATACTTGGAAATTACATAAATTTTTTTTTGAAAACTTGAAACAAAATTTATTTTTAATAGTAACAAATAAATCTAAATCTTATTGAAATAATTTTTAAATAAGTATCTTTAAGCTATTCATGGTAAGACATGTAATACTAAGTTCAGACAGACAAATTTCCTTAATTTCGTAAAAATGAAATTAAGTTAATTTCGACAGTGTTTATACTGCTCCAAATTAAGGAAATTATATGTTATTTGTTTACAAATCGAATGTTAAGAAGCATTTGCATCTGGGAAATTTTAAAAGTTGATTATTTTAACTATAAAGGATGGCATTTAGTAGTTTTATTAGCTTTAGTAGATTTCAGGTACAGAAAGACCCCGCTTAACGCTGTTTCGTTAAACGCTTTTTCGGTTTAGCGCTCTTTTATTTCAATCCAAACATTTAAGCAGATGTTTGAAAAAACAGACGGAGAAGAAAAGCAATCAATAAGAGAATTTTGGAAAATCTACAATATCATGAATGTTTTAGAAAACATAAACCTTTCTTGGAATAAGATAACAGAAAGATCTTTGAAAAGAGTATGGAAGAACATTTGACCAGATTTAAGTAAGAGCAAAGACTTTGAACCCTCTGTCGATATGGATGAAACAGTGATAGAAATAGTGGAATTAGCGAAACAAACCGGTTACGATGAGGTAAAAGTGGAAGACGTCAAAGAAATACTTCAAGAAACAGCAGATAGTTTTTCTAATGATGAGCTCAAGGAATTAATTGAACAAGAAGAAAACAAATATATTGATAGTAGTGATTTCGAAAAAATAACTTTCGATATTGTTTGTGAAAAGGAAATTGAACACTACAACTGAAATTATAGACCAATTTGTTTAAATTGATCCAAATTTTGGCAGGAGTTCAAAAGCAAGACGGGGTGTTATAAATGCTTTATTCACTTATAAACAACTTCTAACAGAACGCAAAAGAAAAAACACAAACTACAGAAGAGGAAGAAGAAGAAAGGCAGAAGATTGGAAACACAGAATTGACTGTATAACATTGGTTTCGTTTTTGTAAGAAATAAATATTTGGTTCTATTATTATTAACAAAAACATTATTATTAAATTTAATATCTAAGCAATTTTCTATCAATCTACCCCTAACCCCAATATTTACATGTAAACATAGCCTCGTTTACCGCTGTTTCGCATTACGCTCCACTTTGATGGAACGTATCCCAGGCGTTAAGCGGGGTCTGACTGTATGTGAATTATTATTTTTCACCATATTTTAAATTAATAATAGTTATGGTTCTTTCTCTTTATTTAAAATAAAATATTTGCAGTACCTTTTAAATATTTCCCAGTTTTATTAAAAATAAATGTCATTGACATTTATTTAAAAAAAATGTCACTTTTTCGTTATCTCAACTTTATCTTTTGCTAAAAATTTATCTTACGCATAGTTGCATTTAAAATGTTTCTTAATTTCAGCCTTTGTTTCAATAAAATTAAGGCCATTTTCCTTAATTTCGTTCTAACCTCAAAAATGAAATTTCGGATGGAAAAAACAACTTAATTTTACTGTAATGAAGATGAAATTAAAATTTTTATGAAATGAAGGTGTATTTGAACATAGTATAAAGAATGATTGATTTATTGAATACTACAACAGCATATTAGTAAAAATATTTTTTAAATTTATAATTAAATTAATTTGTGAAATGCAATAATATTCTCATATTGGTCTGCATCTATGCACATTGAAGCTCAGATTTTTATAGATAATATATTAAATTATTTGAATTCATATTCATTCACTTGACCGTTCATCCATTGTAGTAACATTCTGTACACAGAAATCAACTTCATATTGTTTACATTCTTTAATCCAAGTATTATCTTTCATACTTGTAATAAGTAGATACGTACTGCCGAAATGCCATATGCATATGCTTGGATTATTTGTCTGTTTGTGGCTGCAAAAACCGATGCATCAATCCATTTGATTTTATTACGAATGCATTGAAATAATTTAGTAAATTTGGAAATAAATCCGATTATGATGTGAGTGAATCTGTATTTATAGAGATTTAGCTACAACATATGTATGTATATACAATATCTTAACAAATTGTAAACGAAATAATTCAGAATTCAGAATCGACAAGAGGTTACACTACTTGTTAATTTCATTTATGTTTGGCATTATATTTCTCTAAATTTTGATCGTATTTCACTTATGTTCCACTTCCTCCTCCTGGTTTCTCCTGTGCTTTTGCATAACTTACATATATTGGATGAAATAGTTCTTTCACATTTTTGTAAACAATTTTCTTGCATTACATAAAACACGGAGATGATAGAGTTTTAGATTGGATTTTTCATGCACTTCAAATACAAATTGTAAAAATATTTGCATAAATCTCATTTTCTTTGGAATCACAATAATAACAAATATTTTACTATTGCATTACAAATGAAATTCTGCGCACATACACGTTTACATTGTTTGCAAAATAGCTTCAATGGATTTATGATTTAATTTCAAAAGTGAATATAAACTTATTTGAACGAATAGTGAAGTAGTAGTTCATTTAAGCATATTCGTAATTTCAATTTATCTAAAATTAAATTAAACATTTTACATTTCTATTTAATTTTTATTTCTATTTTTCGAAATTGCATTTTAGAGTCTTGGCTTTCCACTTGCATCTTTGGTTGCAATAAATCGCACAAGTGCTGAATTACGGTATCTAAAGGGTGATACGTGCCCAACGGATAAAAACTCACAACTCTCGATGGCTATCAGATTTAATTGCGATGTTCATGCCGGACGTGTAAGTAATAATTTTCTTATATTTTTTTTATTATAACAGTTTTATAACAGTTTTAAAAATTTAAATTCCATGAAAATCGAAACAACAAGCATTGTGCTCATGTATAGTATTTAAAGGTTATATTTGCTTTATTATTAATATTATTATTTTCATGCTCCATTTGGAGCTTAAGAAATCTGCAAAAGTTTTCCATTGCAGGGGACTAGGCGTAGGGGACTCAGACCAGCAATGATCTGGAGAAGGACAGTTCAGTAAGAGAAGGGCAAATCGTTTAACGAGTTGAGAGCAATAGCACAAAATATAAAATATTTGCTTTAGTCATATATAAATGTACAGTAGACTTTCGATTTATCGAATATCAGATATAACAAATTCTCTAAATAACGAACGATCAAATTTTTATAAAAAACAAATGTACCAAAACAAACGTCTTTGGTCTCTTCTCTAACCAAAGTTTCTTAACAAACGTTATACCAAAAGTCTACTGTATGTACAGTGCCAAGAATTTTTATTCAATTTGATATGTAATTAAATAGTTATAAGCTACAGTATGTTAATGCTATTGTAAAATCTTAGAAACGTCTAGCAATAAGTTTTATTTTTATACAAAATTCATACAAAATTCATGCAATCAGGTTTAATAACACTATGCAGGAAAAAAAATGTAGTATATTTTTCTGTTATTTAATTTTTCAACAATTTTAGCTTAATTCAAGTCTGCTGACCTTAAATTTGCGGAAAAGGAGGAAAATTTGGAAAAAAAATGTGTAAGGCAAATATTTTACAGAAGACTTAAAATGTTTATCTCTATAAATATTTTATTAATTCTCTCAAATATTAACTTTTGAACTCAATACCATTATAGCTAGAGCCTCAGATATCTACGACAAAAATAGGTTGTGGATTTAAGCTTAACAGCCCCAAATTAAGATAAATAAAATAAAAAACATAAAAGTGAAAAGAAATTTAAAAAGTTAGTTATATGTATATATATATATATAAAAGTTAGGAATGGAAGACAACAACAAAAATTTTAGTTGATTTATTGAAGTTTGGCTGATCATACAACGCTGTTTCGAGTATTGCCAAGTACTTATCATCAGTGGTCTTAGGATATATTTAAATTTCTTTTTAATTAGTTTATAGTCCGTATATAAAAATTTAATTTGTTGGTTATTATAAAAAAATTTAAAGTCATGTATGGCTTAAAAAAAGGCAAATAATATTGAATATATAATATAGTATTATTACGGAGACCGCTCAGTTAAATATCAGGGTTTCAATTATAGAATTACACCTTAGGTTCCAAACAAATTATCATATGTTAAGGTAGCTTTAGCAATGCTACCTATTGATTTTGTATTAAGTACTACATATACCTTTTAGAAAACTATTTAATGCTGGTTAAATTACTGACTTGGCAGCCATTATTGTATCAAATAAGTTAAAACGTATTTTAAGCATAATATTATAGGTGAGGTTAGTTGACATCGTTGTCTTAACTCAATACCAATTGTGATTACGAAGTAATAATTTAATGAAAAATACTAGTAAAATAACATTTTTATGGTTTTAACACTGTATCCTGCATTCTCTTCGGGGTCTATAATTTACAACTTGTCAAATTTCATTGCTGTTTTTGACAGCGCAATTTTAGTACCAAATTTTTAGGAGTGTTTTAGTATAGCTTTATTTCCTAAGAACTGAACTAAGTGATGTATAACATCACTTAGCGAACTAAGTTGTTTTAGAAAACTGCAAAATACTTGAGAAATCTGTTCAGTTTTTAATTTAAAATCAATTTTAGTCGAGTTATTTTGCAAATAGTTCTTAAATAATAATTTAAGAGGTTTCTTATGCATCTCTTTGTTTCAAACCTACCTAAACAATACTTCGTTGCGCTGAATTCTAGTATCTAACCAAACTACTTAATGCTATTTTGTTAGTGTACCTATAGGTAGATACTAAAAATTATATTTTGTAAACAAAAATTTTTTCGAATTTTTAATATAATAATTATAATGTCTTTAAAAATAATGATCTACAAAATTCGAATAATAGAATATGATTGGAGCTCCCTTCATTTGATTAATTTTGTATTCTATTCCAGGAAAATCATTATCCTTATTCCATTAAATTGGTACATACTTTACTAGTAGGATTATTAGTTGAGAGAGAGTTATGCTTCACGAGATCTACGCTATTACATTGATATTACTACAGAATCCTATCACTGTTATTTTGCTTTCTTACTAATTTATGGCTCTGTTGAATATGTCTAGGCATTGGTAGCAATTTCATTAGAAGTTTGTTTATAAATTTTAATTATACACAATTTAAATCTCACACTTAAAATCGATTTTGGAGTCTTATGCAATCTGCAACAACATGAAAATCGTTCAGCTGAGATGTTGTTGACATTTAGTCTGCTATTTGTGCCTCTGTGTTGCTGATACTTTTGTTTTTCACTTGACTTTTGTGAGTGGGTTTTAATGGTTGCCATGTTGTATGGCTCCATGCCAACTTTTTTTAGTAAATTTCTCGGCGCAAGCAATTATTTTCCACCAATTTTTTTAAATTTCTTTTTGCTTTAATGTCTGAAATTGCAATCTGCAAAAAGTTATTTTTTTTTCTTATTTAGTACAAATCCACATGCGAAACATGTCCTTACCAGCCATTGTTGAACGTATGGAACGTATCGGGTTGTTATTGACAAAAAAAAATGACCTTTGCGGTTAAATAATCGTATACCACAAAATCATTAGTACGTTTGGTCAATCAATAAAATTGAAAATTGCGGAATAGATTATGGTCTCCAGCGATTATAGAATTTGCTTTATTTTATAAAGATACATATAAATATATATGTGTATATAAAATTTTATTCCAATGCAATTGATTAAATGAGAATTTTAAAGTTTTAAATTTCAGGCATTTGAAGCAAAAAACTCAAAATTGTCAGAAGAATTGTTAAATTTTTTTTATAATTTTAGACACATTGTGTGAAAAGAATATATATATTAAAAACAGCAAGATATTTCTACGCATTATAGGATACATAAACTATTCTCTTTTATATACTCTTGGTTAAATTGTTGAGACGAGTATATATTTCCATCTACTTTTCAATAAAAACCGAACTTCGGCTTTCGTGTTTAAGATAGATTAATTAAGTTTGTATTTTTAAAGAGGTAAACCAAAGCATAGTTAAGGGACTGTACTGCACATTTACCATATTGTATAATCACAATTGATTTTCAACTCTATTCAGATTCCAAATTTCTGCGATTTGGCAACACTTCATTATATTAAAGCCCAACTTTGCAAGAACCAAGCTAAATTGTCCTTATAAACTGTATTGGCGAAACCGACAGGCGACTACATCAGTTATTGCAGTAAATTATAGCCAAAATAAATATAAAAAGTTATACTACTACCTCAGTTGAAAAAGTTGCGCAAAATATAGAAATTTACTCTTTTGCCATATTGGAATTCTATGGAAATCGATATCGGTGTCTCCAGACTTGAGATACCAGATTTTATCTTTTTAAATATATTTGTCCTAAGTTGGAAACTCAGTTGAAAAAATTGCGCAAAATATAGAAAGTTACCTATACTGTTTTGCCATATTGGGGCCCTATGGAAATCTATATCGGTATCTCCAGACTTACCAAATCGTATCTTCTTAAATATATTGGTCTAGATATAAGTAATCATAATTGTATATAATTTATTATTTAATATTTAAATAATGATAATAAAATATATTTATTATTTAATATTATTATTGCTAAAAAAGTCACTAATTTATATAACTTACGTATTGTCTTAAGATAGATTGTAAATAATGAAAAATGCATTTATTTATCTTAACTTTGTATCTTTTATAGGGTACTCCTGTTCTGCAATCAATTAGCGATTGTCATTATGAATTTGATTGGCACACCAATGTTATCTGCCCACCTCACATGTGTGAGTATAAACACACTACGTGTGAAATAACCAACACGGAATTGGGTGTTAGTTATAATTTAAAAAAAGCGACATTTACTAAGGATGGAAAAATGAAAGTAAATACTAATAATATTAACATTTTTCTAATAGGTAAAATAATATTAAAATATTTTTATTTAGATTACGAACAAAAACAACCAATATGATTTGAACATCTGTGCGAGATTTCTGAAACCATTAACAGATTATACTCAAGGTTTGGTGAATTTATTCTTTTCTACAGAAGGTCCTTGTAAAAATGGTAAGTTCAATTTTATTAAATGTACTTGAGAAATACTCGAATATCAACAAATTTAGCATGTGTAATGATTTTTTTACTATACTACTACCTACTATACTCGTATAGCGTAAATAGAATGAAAAGTTGAGAAAGCAAAGAGAAAAAATTAATTTAATTTCCGCTTCCGAAGTTGCATCCGTATCCGCAACACAAGTGTTTCCGTTGCACATTCACCCAATTGGCATCTTTACTATTTGAATTACTAATTTTTTATGCAACAGCAGCACAATATCGAAGCAATGGAGTGACACTAAAAATGGCAGTAAGATTTTTTGCTGCCGCATTATTGTTGCTTAGTTTTAATCTAGAAATCGCATTTGAATTGGCAATTATCCCAATGCGCTGTTTTGCTAGCTAACTGTCTCCTAAGACCTGCAGGATGTTATCTTCCTGTGCGAAATCTTTTGTTTTTCCTTTTCTATTCTATCATTCACGGTTACTTCACTGGATTTTAAGAGGATTCGCGTGTTAAGCAAAAAAGTCAGAAGCAATAAAATTTTTCCAAAAAAAAAACAAAACTTTACGTTCTACGAATAAACCACATGCTTCTTTCTATCTTTTTGTTAATACTCATGGAATGTTAACTGGAAAAGAAATGACAAAAAATATGCAAGACAATATAAAAGAGCTATAAATGTAGATATGTATACATCCTTCCTTCAGCGGTCTATGAATTTTTAATAGAGCTACAAACGTCGGTTGACGTTGAACGTTTGATGGGTCACAGACAAATTTGCACTTAGCAAAATCATAAAAATTCGCAAAAACGAAAGTTATGCCAATGCAACGAAACTTCGTGCTTCGTTTAAAAAATAAATGCAAGGAAATAGTTTCTAACTAGGTTTGTGTTGAGTAATCTTTTTGACAGTATAAAAAAAAAAAAATTCCTCAGAAAAAAAACAAAAACAGTAAAGCTAACTTAAATACTGAAAGTTCTATTTAATTCTTGCTTGAGGGTTGGTTTTAGTTAATGAAAACTAACATTATATCTGTATATATAAATATTTGCTCTCGTAATAAGAACCTTTGTTGAAAGTCTGTTTTGCTTATAGTAGAAAAAAGTTGACAATACTGAAAAGTATTTAAAAAAACTACATAAATACCTTTGTAATCTATGGTAATTGTAATCTATGTTAAATTATAAGGTACATCTTCTTTGGTTTTGTAGTAATTGCCATTTATTTAAATTATAAGATAGTGAAATTAATTAAGAGTGTAATTAACTATTTTGTATACACAATATAAGTAATATGTAAACTGAAGTCGTTATTAAACCTGTAATTGTAGGCCACATGATTTCATCCATGGTAGACCCATAGTCAGAAATTTATTTCGAAACATTTTCAACAGTTTCAAAAATCTCATCTTATTAAATAATCATAATGCTTTAATAATGAATATTCACATGTATAAATATAGTTATTTTATTCTTTTGGATGATCTTAAGGGCCTCAACTCCTTAAGATCCCCCATCGTTACGTTCTTGGTCAATAGTTTTGTTCACATTACTTAAACAAAACATTTAACATACTTAAGACAAATATATTTGTAATTGTTAAATAATGGAATTGTAATTAATTCATCGATATATACCATTGAATCAAAGATATTTTTTTTTAAAATGGCATATCATAAAATCACAAAAGTTAAAAAGTGGGTACAGATTTAAAAAATATATTATTGTTATATTATTGTTTTTTTGAAATCTTCATATTCTCTGTATAAATTTTCTGACTTAGTTGGAGCCATTAGCGTGCTATATGTGCAATATGTATGCCTTTGTAATCAAAAATCAAACTATTTCAAAAATAAACTCATTGTTTATCTTAAAACGTATTAGACAATCAAAATTCAATATCAATTAAATGCGTAGATCTGTAGTTACATTCAGTAATAATTTAAAATATATATTGGAGATTTTTTATATGAATTTTATCATAGATATTTTTTATTTAATAATATTTCAAAGCTGATTATTTTTATAAAATTATTAAATTAAATTTTAACGTCCGTTTTAACGAAAAAAACTAAATTCTTAATATAAACTATTTTTAATAGAGATGCATTTCGAATAGTATTTAATTACTACAACAAAATTTTTATTATTTTATTAATTAATTGAATTTTTGGCTGACCATACAGATGTTTCGAGTAATACACCGCATCAGTGGTCTTGAAATTATTATATTAAATTATTATTGAATAGTTTTTCAGTTTGCAAGTACGAAGGGTTGAACTCATGCCCTGCCAAATTTGAAGCTTAGAGTTAGTGTTCATTAGCCAACTGACCTAAAGCCGTAATTGACTTGTGTGTTCGCTCTTTGGAATTTTGTTAATTTGCTGTGAAAGTTCATTAATAAATTCACTTGTTGGGTTATATTACAACGAAATCATAAACCAGTTGTAAAATAATTGAGCTAATTAACTATATTTTTATTCTTTATTTTTAAGTGTTAAATTGCAAATTTAATTGTTTGAAAATATTATATATTTATATTGTTATATAAACAATTTGTTTTAATATGTTGTGCTTATTTACGTTAATTTACGAACAAAATTTAATGAAGTTCACTGTCTTTATGAGCTGGCAGGTTAATCTACTACCAAAACAACATTTCAAATAAATATTTTCTAAAAAATAATCCTTTTATATAAAACTTTATTTTCAGCTCCTGACATCTTTTAATCCACAAATGATAAGCACTGAATTTCATATTCATTTCCAATGTCTATGCTCGTAGTGACATTACCAAATCTTCCTGTTGACAAATATACAATTTGTATAATCTGACACTTTTGATATTTGGTAGGATAATAACATTTCGTACTGCTTTGTAGAGCAACACTTTGCTTTCGTATGACACACTAAACTTATTAACATATACAAAAACATAATTGTCCTTTTTTGCATTGTTTTCTAAAATTATAATCATGTCCTAGGCTGTTAGATAGACTGCTTAAAATGGTTTTGGCTATTGTTGTGCTTATTTTATCGGTAATGTTTTGTTGTTGACTTTTATGCTAACAATTATGTGAAAGTCTGTTTCTATTGTATGGAAGATAACAATTTTTCTCTGTGATTAAATTAGATTAATTTACTGGAACAATGATTATATTTTTTTGTTGAGCCGAAAACAAATTTGTATCTTGTTTATATGTTATGTTGAAATAAAAAAGTATTTAATAAAATAAAAATAAAAAAAATCAACAAGGTTTTGTAGTTTATGTTAAATAATTATATTGCGAAATTGGTTGGTTGGTTGGCTGCAGTGGCAGAGGCCATTAGGTAGCTTCCATGTACCTCAATTAGCGTTTTTTCGCCGTTTTCTTACCACATTCCTCGCAAGAACCCTAGTATAGTAGAGTAGAGACTAAATCCATCCCGCCGAATTTAGGTAATTTAATAGGTCTTTTGCTTCACCGTTATGTCTAATAAACTATCACAGAAGTATCTTTCTAAGAACCTACATCTTCTGAATATTGCGATATTATTATTGAAAAAGTTGATTGTTGAAAAAATTCAAATTTTTTTGTATATATTAGTATTTGTATATTTTTTGTTTTAAAAATAAAAAATATTTTTTATTATAAACATTTTTAGTAATATTTTAATTATTCTAGGTACAGCAAATGTGCAGTTGCGTTTGATTTGCAGCAATTTAACTTGGTTTGACACAGCTTATGAGGATGTAAGTACAAAATTTATTTCTTATATGACTTAAACAATTTTAGTAATTTAAAGTTTAGTTTTAAAGTAAATCTGTGCAAAACAAAAGTTTACTCAATTTCCACTGCACCATTTACTGCATAAGTTTGTGCACTTTACGAGCACATAAAGTTGTTAGGTTTGTTCATTTGTTTTCTGTTCTTGTAGTTTGTTGGGTAATGTTTGCCTTCTTGTGCCCTCATAGAGTTGAAGGCAATAACAGGCATTTTATAAAAGTACAAAACAGCAAACAAGTGGCTTAAAAAGATGTCCTTCTACATGTTCAAGAATTGCTTGCACAAGGAGAAGTTCTAGTCTGTTGTAGTTTAATTTACACTTCTGTAGCAGCTCTGCCAGTGTGTGGCGGTAAAATGTCTTAACCGTAGTGACAAACTATATGCCTCGACGTAGGTTAAAAAATTTATTAAAAATTTAAAGTTTATTGTACAAGTTTATTAGACAAAGATGAAATGAAAATTATTTAAGAAATACTATTTTTCACAACAAAGAAAATATATTACAAAATTTTGAAACAATTTAATATATTTTCTTTAAATAAAAAATTAAAAAAATAAATCTTTTAGAAAGTCATGTTTAGTTTATACTCGTATTCATATGTCCTCAATTTAGGATATATAATATTTAGTAGCTTATGTAGTAAATGCAATGGGTTGTGTTTATTTGGATAGCTGAATCTTAAAAGGATGTTTTTTTATTTTTTAAACTATGTCGTTAGGGTGATTATAATTTTTCTAATCTCATGATTTACTTTGCAAACTTGTAGCACTGGATCTAGCTGTACTAGCATTAGTAGCATGTCAGGGTTGTGTTAGCAACAATTCTGTAAAACTTTAATTGTAAATGTTCTAATATCTCCACATTTAAGTTTGCGGCATATACACAAGTTCAGTTAGATTTTCGGACCATAGATAATATCATTGATCTTATCTTATATTTAATAAAAACTTTTAATTTTCGTAGTATGGATTTACACACACTATTGAGTCGAATGTCCAGTGTTTTCCGTTTTGTACTATCACATTAATATCGTGACAATATACATATTTTTGTTGATAGAGATATCAAAGAATTATTTAAATGAATTAGACGGCAGGAGTTTCTTCTTGAAATCTTTCACTTGATTTGGTTTCATCGGCTTATATCTTCCAGTTCCGTAGTTATACTGGAATATCATCCGCATTTGTTTTTAATATGCTGCGTGAAGGCTGTAGTTTAGTGTCAGTAGTTGAGGTATTACTAAGGTATTATATACAACAGTACCAAGAACAATATGTAATGCAGCCGGTATATTGTTACTGTATAACAACTATTTTATATTGAACTCATAGAACAATTCTTTGCACTTTTTAAAGTTTTGAGACTTCTTTAACTTATTGAAGGAAAATGTCTATAAAGCTATTAGCTGTATAATTGTAGAAAATTATAGTAGAAAATTTTATAGTTTATAACCTTTTTTATAGAGTATACCACTTAACTACACCTTTTTTACAACTTAAGTAATATTTTGATAATATTATGTACACTAATGTCGCGATTTGCGTGGATTCCAATTGTGCGGCCAAAAAATAGTTTTGGTTTCGAATTGCGTAGGTAACGTTTTGATTTGCGGCGTTTTTTAACACATGCATACAGAGGGGATTCCCATTTAATATCTTGTAGGTGACATTTTTTTAAGTGGTTTTACATGTATTAAGTTTTTAGTTAAAAGGTTATTTTTATTTTATTTTTATTTTTTTTTTAACGAGGACTCTAAAGCATCGAAAGCCTAAATCATGCGAAACTTTAAAACGCTAAAAACATGTCCTCATGTCCAGATGGAGAGTCCTTCCTGGAACTACTGTAATTCTCACCTTTTGTTTAGTTAAAAAGTGTCAGTTTACATTTGTGTGGTGAAGTGGCAAGGTAAATTTCTTCTTTTTAAAGTATAAAAATGCGTCAAAAGCGAAAACAAAGTTCCTTGGAACAAAAGTGAGATATTTTAAAACCTTTAAACTTGAAAAAAAACCTGCTGATATTGGGAGAATTCTGCGTTTAGCTACAACTACTGTAAGAACAATTTGTTATCATGATGCGGACTACATAAAGGACTATGGAAAGGAAAACCAAACTAGAAATCCATAAATTGTAAAATTGGGGTTCCTTCTAACCATATGGATAAAAAGTTAGAATCAAAGAAGAATGCCATTGAGCCAAATGTTAATTTAGAATAACGGTAATTCCCCATTACCAAGTGGACAAAACCAGAATATTTATGGAAATTAAATATGTGGAGAAATGTGATTCGATTTGCTTTGCATTGTGTCGTTCCTAATTAACGACACAAATCGAGGTATGAGTCTACACTTGTATGTCAAATAACATCAACAGATATAATTTACATATCTGTAAATGATATCTTGTGCATGCACAATACTAGTAACATTAAAAATGATTAAAGAAAACAAGAAAAAAAATTCTTCAAATATAACTAAAAGTTAAAGCACTAATCTGGTACGTGTTAGGATTACCGATTACCGATATTTTTGGTTTCAAGAAAGACCTGAGAAGCCACGTGTTAAGTTGACGACAAAATGTGGTTTAACATTCCTAAAAGGAACAACACAAGCAGATCCCTGCGGGCTACGACAGTAACAACAACCGATATTTTTTATTATGATATTAGCCAGAACAATACCTTACCATTATTTTAAAAATATTTTTTTTTTTGATTTTAACAATTACAAAATGCATTTAATTTCAACAAAAGTTAATAAAAAAATTTCTATTGTAAAAACCACAAACCAAAGTAATGGTATGCAAGAAGTGAAGTATCTGCGGCAATAACCGCACATTAGAATCCTTCGTTCAGTGTTGAAAACGGAAAAATGCGCGTTAAAGTGAAAACGAAACACCCTAAAACCTTTGTTCGGAAAACAAAATGAAAAAAAAATATGCATATAATGTAGTGTATATGATTATCAGTAAAAATGCAAGGAAACGTAAAAAGTCGTAAGGAAAAAATGTGCAACTCTGCTTGCTTTCCTGACTGACATTATACAAGTAGGTGCACACTGAGAAGGTTTCTTTGTGTTTGTGCGCTTCGGTGGCATAACATTAAGGATAATGGTTTACATTTGTTTACAACAAAGCGTCGCATACACGTTTACCACTCAATAACATTTGCTTTTATTGTTGTTGTACTGATTTTTTCTCACTTCTCTAAACTTCTACTTCCCTTTTATTCTTGTTTATGAAATGGTTTACATTGTTTTCTAGTCCTTTCATATTTCTACAGTATCATATCCCAATATGTCCTTTTTAAGGTTATATTCCAAAAAAAGAAGAAAATGAAGCATTTTATGTATAGGATATGAAGCCCTGCACAGGAAACACTAAACCGTAACAAAAGCTTCATTTTTCCGTGCCTTTTTCTTCCGCTTTTATATAAATTTTTTTCTACTGCTATTTGTTTGGTCTGTGATTGTATTTTTGCAATGCGTTTTCTTTTCATCCTTCTTGGATAGGTTTTTTGGCCAGGCAACCTTAAAAATTTCTGCACTTTTCTGTGGAACGCCTGTTGACATGGTTTGTTTTTCCTTACAATATTGTTCTTTTAAGGTTTTGTACTCTCTCGTTGTGTGGTTTGACATTTTTCTTTACGTTTATTGTTATAATATTGAAAAGATTCGAAAATATTCTTAATTTTGTTTTGGTTTTTAGCTTTTATATAATTTTTCCTGCGGATTACAATGAAAGTTGAAATGAAGTTCATAGAAAATAATAACAACAACACAATTACAGAGAAATAAATAATTATATTTTCAACAATCTTTAAATTGCTTTGAGGTTTGGACACCAAAAGTAATGTTGAGAACTACATTTTACAATGAATTTTGGGTTTTGCTTCTGATATGCTTTTATTTTCATTTTTAGTTTATTTGTAGCCACAATGCAAAACATTGGTTATACAGATGAAATGTTTAACGTTGTTAAAATTCTAATATAATTGAATTCATCTGACTATTTCATTAAAGAACAAGGTTATAACAACCACATTGGAGGTTTCAATCGGACTTAGGAAGTTTCACTCGGACTCGTGACGGGTTTCTAAAAAATAGTTATTGCTTGAATACTTTGTTTATTAGTAGCTCTAGTAGTAGTTGTGAATTTTAAATGTCTATAAAGCACATTGCAAAGCTATTGTTACGTTTATTGAAAACTCTGGCAACACTATGGAATCTTCATCCAATCAGAAACGAAAACTATTAGGACTCTGGTAGTTTTCTAAGATGACCTTGGCTTTCAAAAGTTAACTATCGAGAAGTCCAGCGGTTCACATTAAGTGTGAAAAGTTGTCTTCAAATTATAACTACTTTATAACTCCATTCGCTATCCACTATCAAAACTGTGCCAAAAATGGCACACTGTGCTAAAACAGATATTAGATGATCAAAATTCGGTTTATTTTAAATCAGTAGAGATATTGAAATGCAATATCTATGTAATATATAATATATAATACAGATATTTAGTGCATTAAATTTCAATTTTCTACCTGTTTTATAGTGTTTGAGACATGTAAAAAAATTTAAAAGTTGATCTTGTTTGGGCCCAAATTTAGAATGAATCCGGTAAGCTGATTGAGCTCAAATTTTATTGAAAATAAAAGCTATCTCAAAACTATTATTATTATTATTAAAGAAGAGATTGTGCACTGCGACCTAAAAGATCCATTGTGCCCTTTACTCGGGTTAGAGTGTTTCTCCAAGTCCGATTTCTTAATGAAAGACAGTATAGAGCCTACCTTTCCTAGTCTTGAATCTTTATGATCCATGAAATACCCTCCTAGGTGTTTCTTCCGCTTGTGCATCAGTGCCGGGTACTCTTCAAGCACGTGGTATGCAGTTTCTCTCTCCTCTCTACAGTACCTGCAGTCTGAGTTGGATTAACGTCTGAGTTGGTCAATAATCCCGTAAATCTCAAAACTATATTGAAGGAAAATTTTCTTTCAATCTCTACTAGTTGAGAAATTAGCGAACTTTGATCGTCTAATTTCTGTTTTGGCATACTGTGCGGTGCTATCCAAATATGACAACGGGGGACAACCATCAAACGAAGAGGGTGCCTAAACCATTGAAAATGGTCTTGCTAGTTTTTTGCTTTATGCTTGCAACCCTAGATTTCAACTCTGTTGGGGTTTCGTAAGAGATAACATACTTGCTATCAGAAGTAAACATACGATTAAATTTCTTTTTTAGTTTTTGTGCAGTTTTGTAATACGTTCATTTTAAGATATAGTAATTTATTTAATTTATTAGAATTTAATATAATTATATCTATGGGAGGTACTAAACTTTAAACGGAGACTAAACCATAGCTTGACATTTGATTTTCAATTTGTTTTTTATGAAAATTAAATTTTAGTAAATAAAAAAATCCGTTTCCTGTTGATTTTTTTCTGAAAAAACAAATAAGTAATAGTTTTGACAAAGTATATTAAACTTAGAAAATCTCAAAAATCATAAATATTAATTTTTCTTATATAAATAATACGTTTACGTTTATGTTTGTTAAATTATTTATAAGCTTATTTCTCACAGTAACTTACCTTTCCTAAAATGCGTTTAAAATTCAAATAGGCATAAAAGCAGCTTAAAATAATTTACAGCAATCGCCCCAAAAAATAAAAAAGAAAATTAAAAAAAAATTATTTTAACATTTTGATAGAAATGTTTTGTTGGTTGCAGACTAGGCGTATATTCATCCTCAATTTCATTTAAAATGTTCAGGTCCTTGTTTCCTTTAAGTGAAAAATGCAGCCAAGCGTATAGAATGTTATCGCATATAGCACATCAAATTTCATACATCATAAAACATATTGCCTTACTAAGTTACAAATTTGATAGCACAAACATAGGACAAACCCTAGCCCCAAACTGTACCAGACAAGACCATATTGAATGTTATATTTCATGTCATCTTAAAATGAGTAGCACAAAATGAGCAGGAAAACATTTAAAAGTAACAATTTAGTTTGTCCAAGTAAGAAAGTAAAAACGTAGAAAAAAATTACTACTTTTACTTAATATAAGTTTATAAAAAAATAAAAGAAAAACATAAAATCCCTTAAATAGCTGGAAATGCTAGAAAAGGAAACCTCAAAGCTACTTGCTTATTGCGGAAAACAAATCTAAGCATTACAAAAGTATAAAATTGGGGCACTTGTACACGTCCAGGCAGTAAAAGAAATGTATAGCGTTTTGTTCTACGGTGATTATTTTATCTTATTTAATATAAGCTAAAGTGTGTAGGAAGAGCAGAGTAAGTGAAAGTAGCATTAGTCGTGCAGATGTTTGCAGCCCTACAAATACAGCAGGAAAATAGGAAATCAGATAAAAACATTACATCTACAATCTGTCGTCCTTCAAATTTAAAGTTAGAAACGCGACTTTAATTATAGCTACGCTTTCAAAATTTTTTGTATAGTAGTTTCGAATTAAAGATAAAAGATATTTTCATACACTTAGAGTGACCCATTTATTTGGTGGTTCAGTCCGATATATTGAGAAAGTTTCTAAAGTGTTGAGTATAACTATTAAAGTGTCAGTCAAGATGAATATGTTTTCTAATAGTCAGGTATGTGGTTGATTAATGTTGTTGTTCTATTCTAAATGCTCTTAACTATTCTTATTCTTTTATGAGATTGTAACTAACAATCCAACTAATCACACTCACTAAAACTGTAGAGTGTAACTTAATATAAAAGTGTACCCGTAAGTAGCTTTTAACAATGTTCTAAATATGACTTTGCTTTTAGAGAAAAGATTATAACAATAAGCGAAAAAAGTGTAATAATGAAAAGAAGAAAACCAAAAGAAAAAAAACGATAAAGAGAAAGAAGTGTAAAAGAAAAACCGTCGATGACAATTTTAAAAAGGAAAAATGGTGTACAAAGTGCCAATCCATATTCAAAGCACGTGCTAAGTACAGAAAATGATTATCGATAAAGATAAAAAGCTGAAATAAATAAAATTGTAACAAAAAAAAGAAGCTAAAGCTGCCAAACAAAAGGAAATAAATGAAAAGTAAATTGAAAGTGTTAAATAAAAACGAAAATAAAATTTAATATGAAAAAACTATAGCTTGATATTCTAAGAATTAAGAAGAGAGCTTTTAGATCTCTAGATTCTTTCAAAAATAATTTAATCTTTACTTTAAGTTCAATTTTAAAAGTTTAATGTCTTTATGCTTTTCAGTTTAGTAAAATTTTAAAAAGACAGGATATCTTTTTTTCTTTTATGATTTGTAAAAAGATACACAGATAATCTAGGTAAAAAGATTCAGATCGTAAAGATTTGTTTTTTGTACTAAGAAACCCACAAATAACTTCATAAAATTTTATAATCCGATTCTTCTGAAAAAATGAATAATGTTTGGAAGAGATAAGAAGCTGTTATTTAAGTTACTTACAATGGGGGACTCAAAAACTTTTCTGTCTGGTTTTTGGGCGGCTAGAAAAAAGTATAGAAAAGGATGTCTATGTTGTTATAACCCTCGCAGCAAAGTGGATGTAACCTGGTATTAGAGATATCAAGACAAAAGAGATATTTGGAGTAAGTAGTCAAATACCATTGATCGCACCTTTTAATAGTCTATATTTTGTGCGATATAGGGTAAAAACAAAACCTGTGGGTTTCTACTGCTTACAGGTAAGACTAATTTGGTGTGCCTGTAAATATCGTAGTATCGCTATCTAAATAAGACTTTAAAGCGAATTAATGCCATTTAAACAAAAATTTACTCATTACCTCATGTATTGCGATATCAACATTGAATACTTAAAGAAATGAAGTATAAAATGGGCTCGTCGTATTAAAAAAATGTTAATACCAAGATCATAAAGTAAAGTTTTAAACACCTATCAGAAACAAAAAACATATTAGAATGATCCTGGAAAATATGAATTAATGGATTGAACAACGATTTTGCTTCATGTTTATTAGTCGTTTGTTACAGTTACATTTTCTTTGACTAAGTTATTGTGATTGCTCTATGTGATCTGACCAGAAAAGATTTGGTCAGTCTTGTGTTGTTCTGACTGCAAGACTATTTGTGAATGCCTTTTTGTCAAGTTCTTCTAAATTATTCTTTGACTGAGTACTCATCGACTTGAATCACATAAATCTAAATAAATTATTTTATGCTTCTCAAGGCCTTGAGAAGCGAAAAATTATGAAACAATGAAATAACAAAGCAGGGTCTTGTTAAGAGTGCTTTTAATGCCAATGTTTAATTGAAGTACTTTTTGCATATTGAAAATAATTTTTGTTATTTCTACTCCAAGTTCTCATTTAATTAAATAGAAAAACTTAAAATCAAATATTATTTTAAACTCAGAAATACCAAGTCTATATGTTTGCTTTAGCAGTTTTATAAGTGTAAGTTCCAACACATGTGCAAATATAAGTTATTAAAAAAAGAGCCAATATTTTTATTACGGAAATACAAAAGAGGAACTCGAAGAGCTACAGACATATAAGAATTTGCTCCTTTACGATTTTATAACCCAAGTATACAATCAAAATATTTTTGTTTTTTTTTTCTTTTGTTCAATGTACAAATTGAAAAATCAAATATTGATATTGAAAGGATTCGCAAACCGACCCATTTGCCGATGGAGGAAAGTACAGGCGAATTTCTGTACTGTTCTCTTCTGTTTCGTTCTTAAAATTCTCATCAATTGAATTTCGTGCAGTTTAATTTTGCTTTTAATTAAATTTTCATGTGTGTTGGTAATTAAATTTCATGACCACAAATGTTAAGGTACACATAAAATCCGACTACGTTGGATTATATTAATCCTTCGCTTCATATTAAAATGTTGAGTTGTTCGTTGCTGGAAAAAATAAACATCAAAAAAATTTAATTATTACAAGTTAAACTGAAGCAACCCAGGAGTTAATTAAAACATTTACTTACGTTAACTAAAGTATAAACTTAAGCAATGAAGTTGAGCGTTATGCCTTCCATATCCTCCAATGTAAATCGCTTTAAATATTTTAATATATTCTTAAGCACTACCAATTAGTATCGGTCTTATAGTAGTTGGCAGAATAATTTAAACTTTGATTTCGTATTGTTGCAATCCAACATGTATGGCTCACTATAGCTTGCAGGTGCCATGTTCGTAAATATTATTATCCTTCTGCATTTGCATATAAATCTCCACAAGTAAGCAGCTTAAAATTGGACGTTCAATGTTAATGATATCCTTATAAGTTATGTTAATTAAAATTATATGTGTGACGGGGTCATACTACACTACATCTAGGAATTAATCATTACGAGATTAGAAAAGCAAATACGCGTGATGATGTGATTTAACAAACACTAGTGAATAATTTAAGTTTGGTGTGTCCTTAAGTACTGAGGTCTTGAATAGTCTTAATTATTGCATTGGTTGATTGAAAATTCGTATTAGAATTTGAAATACGAATGAAATTTGTACAACTTTATTAGAAAGTAATGCAAAAAATAATTTTACATTGGCATAACAATAATAGATGTCATTAATATATACAGCCCCTTCTTCTGCTGTTTAACACTAATCTACAAAAAAATAAAGCTCTGATGTCTTCTGGTCAAAAACTATAACTTTCTCTAAATGCAATGGTTTTTGTTCAATAACATTTAGATTCTCTTTACTCTGTAATCATTAATTTGTCTTAGTTGGCATCTTTCTTAAGGAAATTGAGTTTCATCACAGAAAACTAATCGGATAATATTTTTGTTTCAACGTTCCAATAACTGATTTTGATAATTATTTTTATTGATGTATTATACTATCCATAAAATACGAGTATTATATATTTCATATTCCGATTATTATAATATTTGATTTTATTAATTCAAAGTAATTTATATGTTAAACTTTAAATGGGATGGTTTGATAACCTTTAAAAAATTTAGGTGTTATCATTATTTACCAAATTTTAAAAAAAAATATATTCAAAAAATTTTTAATAATAAATATATACATTCTTTCAAGAAAGTACAAGAATCGTTCATTTAAAAAACCCACTTATAAGAATTGTCGAAATTTTTTCTGTCGCAAAGTTGGCAACACTTTTCCTATTTAACTTGTTTACAATGCGTCAGTTGTTAGGACATCTTGAATATGTTTTGCATCAAACAAAGACATCTTTCTTAACTTTTGCATTGCAAATGGAGTTTCTTTTGCCAAAGCGCTGAAAATGTTACATATATAAGAGCATTTAAAACCGGCGGAGATGTGTTGGAAGATTTCGTTCCGGCAACCATCAACTTGTTCAATTGAATCGTACAGTACAGTAAAGGAAGTGGTATCTTTTTTCCTCGTTAAATTCTAAGAAAGGCAGGTGTTGAAATTTTTGTGTCTCATCACTTTTACGCATCACTTTACACAATTTTAAAGGATTGTTTTTCCAAATTCATGGAAAAAAACTTATGGATTTTGAACCAATGCAAAATCTCACGAGGTTATTATTGTGACTGAATTTTTGATCGAAAACTCCACAAACATTATCGAACATCCGAATAATATGGTTCCAGCCAAATTTATTTTATTTTTCCTAAATTTAAATTACCTCTTCTAAGTATTCGTTTTCAGTCGGTAGATGAAATAAAAGAGACCAAAATATTCATTTAAATTCGTTTTAATTGTGTTGAAACTTGGATTGTCCATTGGTTTTATTTTAAAAGAGACCTAATAAATTTTGATAAATAAAATATATTTCATCAATTGATTTTCGGTACTTTTTTGTTGTAGTAGTATTTGTGTGACAAAATCAATTTTTTATCAATAATTTTTCATCACTATCTCTTTAATCGTGTTAACCCAGATAAAGCTGAAATCGTTTCAAGTACTTACGTGTATCTTTTTCTAGCTTATACCTAGTGCTAACATATACAATAGAAGCGTTTATTGATGTTTACCATAGTTATAAAAGGATGCAATTTATTATTAATAATATTTCTAAATGGACTATATACATTTCTTTTAGTTGTAGGTTTTTCTCATCTTAGTCGAAATATGTGGATATTGGTTACATTATTATAGTCGCCATATAGATTTATTAGTTCCAACATATTCATTAGCTATTATTATAAATAAAGTTTTGTCAGATCTTACAATTATCCAAGTTTCTGGTCTACATATAAGAGTGGATATTGTAAAATTTGATTTATGAGTTCAATGTTAAAACTTTGGTTCTAATTTTAGAGTAAAATTGAAAAAATTTTAATAGCTTAGTTTTGTCTATTTTGCATATAATCCAGGAAAATGAGTGGATTAATGACTTCTAAGCATTAAGTTATTAAGGACTTTCCAATTTGTTAAATATATCTGGGATTATTGGCTTAATTTCGAGAGCTATTTGTACTACTACTGCCATAGTCGATAAAACTTTTCATTCTGTTTCGTTGATATATTCTTAAAATCTTGCAGGATTCTGCGAATAATTGCGAATAATTGCGAATTGTTTTCTGAGTTTCAACTCTAGAGCTCGTAATTATTTATTCAAGGACTATTTTATATACAAATCAAAAAAACTAAAATATTTAGATATATTATTAAAAGAAATAAATTATTTTTTTTATATGTCTCTGAAATAAATAATTTGTTTTATATTAATTCCGTTAAAATTTAGTCTCTATCTCTATTCTTATCTCTATTTTTAATATATATACTATGAAGAAAGAATTTATATATAATTTTCTTGAAATTAAAAATGATATCAAAACTGCATTTAATTATTTTATCATACAAATTGATTTTTTTCCTGATATATAGATTTTTTGAATAGATTCATATACCAAAAAATCTGCCTTTGTGTATACTCATTTTCAATATGTAGCATTGTTGCTAGAGCTACATATGTATGAATATGCCTGATACATAAAGTTGTGCTATCCTTATGGCTTTATCTGGATTATCATTCAATTATAAGGGTAACTTTG